ATGATACGAAGCAAAATCCATCGGAATCCTGTTTTCCGATTGGTTGCAGAGCGTCGTACGACGCAAATCGGATACTGTGTGAATCCAGCAACACGTACACGAGCTTGTGTTGAGTGAGTGCTACCGGTTGCGCCAGGCCGCCGACCGATGACGCTACCATCGAGGGCTACAAGCGGGTCGGAAATTCGGAAATCGCATCATTGCCATTACTGGGTACGAAGCAGTTCAAGCAGTACGAAGAGGAGGTAATATGAAGAGAATGAGAGGCAATTAAGAAAGCTGGCGAAGTTGATGATCAGAGTAAAGTTCTTAATTAGACTGTTAGAAAAGTAGAGCGAAAAGTTCGATTGTTCGTTAATCCTGTTCTTGGTACATGAGTTAATTTCTAGTAAATTCTCTGTAAGACAAATTATACCAATGGACCACGTTGCGGATTCGCGTGGACGAGAGGCGATGCTACCCGATCATAGTGGTATCAGCAGTAGTGTTGCGTGCTGCAACGTAAACTTGACGTCGGTAGACTCGGGAGTAGAAACCGGGAATGATTCGAACGACAGCTCGATCGTCCAGCAGGAGGGTCAGCAGCAGCAAGTCGTTGCTAGTCAGGTCATCAGTAACTGCGTCACAGCAATTCCATCGGAGAGTCAGCTCGTCAATAACTGCGTCACAGCAATTCCATCGGAGAGTCAGCTCATCAATAACTGCGTCACAGCAATTCCATCGGAGAGTCAGCTCATCAATAACTGTGTCACAGCAATTCCATCGGAGAGTCAGCTCATCAATACCTGCTCCACAGCAATTCCATCGGAGAGTCAGCTCATCAAAAACGGCATCACAGCATTTCCAGTAAATAGTCAGCTCATGAGTGATGGCGCCGATCCCAATTTAATTGGAGAGTTTCCCAGTCTGCACATGTACGATTGGCCCTCTTTAATGCATCCTCTGTTTGTTTCTGATGAGAGCAGAAGGACCTCGCCCGAGGTCACTGTAATGTTGCAAAAGAACAGGCTACTTAAAATCAATGCCGAGGTATCTATCGTTGTTACTTTCCATTAGTAAATAGTTAAGAGTTGTAGAACGAAACTTGTCTAGAAGGTTTCTTTGAATAAAAATGCAAAGCAAAAATAAAAAATAACAAAAGCAGATTATTTAGCAAAATATTTTAAGTTAGTAACAATATAGATCTTTAATACAACTTTTTTGTGAAATGTAACTGTTAATATAATAATTATAAATCTTGAATTAAAAGAATAATATTGTGTTATTTCAGACCTTAGAAATAATACGGAATAAACACAAGATTAGCGAATTATCGACATCCTGTGAGTATCCTTTTACAAATTTTGATTTATGTACATTCTGATTATTGGCCGCAGCACAGACTCTTGCATAACGCATAATGCATAGTGCATAAAGGAATCAACCAATCAAAATTTTTCTTTTCCATGTAATGGGAGGAAAGGAAAGATTCTGATTAGTTGATTTGTTAATGCACTATGCGTTATGCAAAAGTCTGTGCTGTGGCCTTATTTCACATTTTTTTATTTCACTTTAATCTCTAAAGAGAATAACCATTTTTTGCTGCATTATATTTAATTTTTTAACAAAGTTTTTATTTTAGAATTTAGACAAATATTAACTTATGCAAATAATTTCCTGTTGGGAATACATGTTATTGTATACAAGAATATAATAATTTTAATATTGCAGCTGATATATACCGCCCTAAAATAAGAGTACGTGTCCTTCGTACATGGCGTAAAAATATGAATACCCAAGCTGTAGCCTGGAATGATTTGCAAACCGAACGTATTCAACGAAGGATGCGGTTGGCTGCTACAACGAATAATGTATCTTTGATGAAAAGACTTTTGGAATTTGGCGTATCACCTAACAATCATGACGATCATGGACGAACTCCCCTTCATATTTCAGCTTGCAGGTATAATTTATATATATAAAATATAATCCGAAACAAAACAACATACACATACCTCGACACACACCATGTATATTTTCTTACAAGATAAACAATATGTTTGAAAGTAGAGTTTCTTGAATCAATTTATTAATGAAGTTATAAATATGTATTTTCCTTAAGATATTCTGGGAATAATAATGGTTTTATGTTACTATTTAACTTTATGTTCTTTGTTGCAGGGGTTATACAGAAATAGTTCGTTTATTGCTGGAAAATGGTGCAGACCCGAATCAGCGCGACTGTATTGGAAACACGCCGTTGCATCTAGCCACGGTTAACAGCAAACTATCAGTAGTGACACTACTCTTAACAGCTGGTACTGATGTTCTCGCATTAGATTCATATGGTTACAATCCACTGCAACTAGCGAAAACGAAATTAAGGATTTTACAACGAAACTTTAATAGTGAGGATATGCTTGAGATCAAGGAAGAGATGCATAATGTAATTAATATGTTGATGGCATATCTGCAAAAGCAAAAGAATATGCGAGAACAGGTAGAAACGTTGAGCAATTTTTGCTCACGTCTTTCCTTATCCAATACCTCGGATCAGGTTCAGGATAATGTTAAAGATTTACTGGCAAACATAAATGCTCTTAGTATAACTGATTAGTCAAGTATAACTGATTAATCACAAATAAGATACGCTATTGTAATATTATACACATTCGTATAAATTTTAGTAACATTTTTATTATAAACTTAAAAAAATGTATGTCTATATATTATGCTTTTATGTGTCCATGCAAACGACTAAATCACATTTTATTCGTAAATATAATTGGTTTTTTATATCTTGCAAAGATTAATTTTTTTTATTGTCATACTTTTTTAGAAAAAAATCATTTGAGAATTTAGTTAACTTTAAAATATGATTGATTTTAATTTAATGTATGATCTAAAAATATTACAATACTTGTAATTACATATGTGATAAGATACTTAGGTTTCTCTCTCTCTTTGCAGATTTAATACCCATGAATTAGACATAATTAGTAATTAATAGAGTGGACAAAAGTAATTAGTTTTTGTATTTTGCGATTGTTTTTATACAGTAGCAATAAAAAAACATAAAAAATTATGAATTGTAATCCAAAAAGGGCTCATTGAGAGACCGAAACATATAATATATATTTGATCTTTTAAAATTAATCACAGAGTATTATATATATTTTTTGTAGGAATTTTCATGTTTCAAAAAATTTTGTATGTTCGACTCTTACATGCCCTGTATACTCTTTATATTTATATATATAAAATTTAATAACTTGGACATATGACAAATAACTCTAACAAGAGAGATAGACAGACAGAGAGAGAGAGAGAGAGAGAGAGAGAGAGAGAGAGAGAGATTAGATTGGATTTTTTAAATATTAAAGCTAGAAGCTGTATATAGAATTATCCTGTGCAATAAGTATTGAATATTTCTTATATGCTTGCGACTAGTGAAAGAAAAATTACCAATTTAAATAATATGTATCTATAATTATAGGTATATACATTTACATAATTGAGACCTCCAATATAAAACATAGAAATAAAATCTTTTCGATAGAATAAATGAAAAAGGAGATATTACATAGTTTTCCTTATTTTTTTGGTATTTACATCTCTGATAATCTTTAGATGAATCTGTAGAAAAATGTAAATAGTTTTTATAATTATTTACAAATACTGTACATAGTCCATTCTTTTAATATAATTTTGTGAGGTGTAAAAAATGGAGATAAATAAAATGTGTTCTATATATGTGTATTACAACTTTTATTTTACCCATTTATGTGAAAATCTGTCATAATTCTGACGTTTTAACTAACTCTTGGACATCAACAAAAAAAAATTAAATAATTTAATTAAATTTTTATATTAACAATTTTGCCAACTTGACCGCTCGAATCTCATTTTGTAAATTTTTTTGTCTAAATATAAAGACAAAATTTTGATGGAAATACTGAATAATATTGAATAAATTTAATTTTTTTAAATCTTTTAAAAGAGATCTTAAAGTGTCTTTTAAAGTCTTTTAGTCTTACAATCTTAAAAGTTTTTAAAATTTTGAAATCCTCAAATCTTTCATTCAAAGTCTAACGATTTTAACATTTTATTTTAATTTTTATATAACTCCGAGATATAAATCGAGCGATGTGGGAGAACTCTCGCGTCAAAACGATTTCTCGTTTCTCCTTACCGCCCGACCGGCGACCGCCGTCTTTGTATTCGGCCTTGATTTCCTCGTACGTAGCGATGCGGCGTAGTGCTGCCATCAGTGAGCAATGCACGTGGCCGACTGTAGCGTGCATTCAAACTTGAGAAAGGCGTGGGGGAGACGCATCGTGGGTGGTCCATCGTGGTGCGCCGACCGGGAACGCGACGCGTTGTGTGGTCTGGCTGGTTCGTGAGCTTCGAGTGAGGCTGTCGCGTAGAAGATGCTAAACGCTTCGTACGATCGAGACGCAGACTTTACCTCATGGTTAACCGGGATCGATCCGTGAGCCCGACCGCACGAAGGTACACGTCTCTTGTTTATACCGTGCGTTTATTCTCACATGACACTCTGTGTGTGTTTCGTGATTAATTAATTACTATTCAATTTGGCATTACCTCGTGGAAGAGGTGTCGCGTTTTTGTAAAGGGGAAGAAATGGAGTTTTTTTTGTGTCTGTTCTCAAAAATGAGGGAAAAGGACCGCTTCTGTTTTTGTTTACATTACAGTGTATTTTCTTAAATCGCTTCCTGAATGTGAAAAATTGATTTTTTACTCGCAGATGATATTTTTGCTGCTCCTCTGTTGCCTGCTATTCTGCAATGGTTTGCCTTTGGAACTGGAGCATGGATTTGCAGCTAACGACGATGGTGAAAACAGTATGTGGAAGGATATGGGTCGGCATCAAAGAATCAAAGATCCCAATTATCGATTAGATAGATATCCTATAGGTGAATTGTCACCGGATATCTCGGCCTGTCGTAGACCTGCCAAATGTGTTCAGCTATCTAAAAGTACTTGTATGGGTACAAAATTACCTTATACTTTTACCACATTGGACCTCATACCAGAGCATGTAACTCAAGACATTGTTGAGGTAGATAAAATTACTATTCATGTATTTTTTGTATTAATAATGTTTTTACTTTTTTTTTTCTTACAATAAAGCATGACTTTATAAAAACTTATGCATGCAAGTTAGGAACTTAGCATTGCAAATCTCTCTAAGGAATAAAAATTATTTTGCATCTATATAAATATGAGCATTTAAGTCTCAAGATTTGTATTTAAAATGGTCTCAGATAATTCTTCATTTCTTCTCTTATTATGCATAGGCTTATCTTTCTATAATGGCAAGCAACATTAATAAGTTAAGAATAATAAGAATAATATATTTTGTTGGCTGTATTTGAATATATTTTTATTTTAGCTTTTAATATGTTTCTCTCAAGTTGTTTATCATATCATATATTATATTATGTTGGTTTTTCTATAATGAGAATATATACATTACATTCATCACAACGACCTGTTTATTTTCAGGAAAGATTGTACTTGTTGCAAGCTTTGAAGCATGTGCCAAAATGCTGGGCAGTTGTTCAACCATTTTTGTGTTCAATATTTATGCCGAAATGCGTTAATGATACAGTCGAATTACCATCTCAAGAGATGTGCAAGATGGTGTCAGGACCCTGCAGGATGCTAATGAATCATACAATATGGCCGAGTTTTGCAAAGTGTGATAATAAGGAATTATTTCCACGATTATGTCAGAATGACATTAGGGAATTGAAATTTAATATCTCGGGCAAATGTTTGAAACCTCTTGTACCTACTGACAATGCTCTTTCCATTTTTGACGGTGTTGAAGGCTGTGGAACACAATGTTATGATCCTTTATACACGCCAGATGAACATAATCAGATACATTCGTTCATTATATGGGGTGCAAGCATTTGCTGTACTTTCAATTTATTCACTGTTGTAAGTGGCATAAAACATTTATGAATAATATATGCTAATTATATAATTTATATTTTATATTCACACATTCCAGCTAACATTTGTCATAGATTGGAGAAGTGCAAACAAGTACCCAGCTTTGGTAATATTTTATATCAATGGTTGTTTTATGGTATCTTGCATTGGCTGGCTAATTCAATTCACTCCTGGCAGTAGGGATGTAGTTATATGCCACAAAGATGGAACATTAAGAACGAGAGAACCGAGGTATGTTTCATGAATATACCATAATGAAATTTGTCATAATGATGTCGACTTAATTTCATAAAATATTTATTTTTATAGCGGGGAGAATCTGTCGTGCGTTATTGTCTTCGTTCTTGTATACTATTCTTTAATGGCAGCTGCAGTATGGTTCGTTATATTGACGTACGCTTGGCACATGAGTTTTCGAGCACTTGGCACGATACAAGATCGGATAGACAAAAAGAGTGCTTACTTTCATCTAATTGCTTGGTGCATACCACTCGTTTTGACGGTCGCAATCATGGCGTTAGGCCGAATTGATGGTAACAGCATGACAGGAATTTGCTTCGTGGGTTACGCCGATCATATGGCGAAGATTTTTGTGCTAGGTCCCATATTACTTGCAGTGCTAATAGGAGGATATTTTCTATGCAGAGGTAGATATTGTTTCTTATTATTTGTATATTTATGTTGATATGATAATAATATTAAATTTTTACACATTTTTAATGCTTTCTATAGTATTCTAAATTGTGAGTATTAATGTATTATTGTTTAATGTATTGAACAATTATTCTTGCATTTATGATATACAATGGTGTATGTATTTTAGGACTCTACACGCTTATTTGTTTAAAAATAAGTAGTCAGGAGATCATATCCGAAAGAGCAAGTTCAAAGATAAAACAGACAATTGTCAGAATGGGACTCTTTTCTATAGGTACTCTTGCAGCTGTTGTTATTACATTCTACTGTCATATTTACGAAATTCAGAACTCGCAGCAGTGGCAACAAAGCTTTAGAAGTTACATGATGTAAGGAAATTTCAATATATAAATTAGAAATATAGCCCACATATACAGGATGAATCTTAATGGATGTCCTAACGTTTTAACATGAGATATAAATATTCCATTCTCTCTTATGCGTGGATTCTAATTATAGTCGGTAATTTATTTCCCATGGTAAATTGTTGGATCTCCATTAAGATTCACTCTGTATATATTCAAAATACATATTTTACATATATTATTAAATTTTCTATGAATATATTTGATTATTAGACACATATTTATCGTATAATACTGTATTATCTAAATATAATGTAAATATAATATAATTGTATTTGTTTAAAGATGCACGATTGCGTCAAAATATGCAGACGTTTCTGAATGTAAAATGGATTCAAGACCTAGCACAGGTAAATTGCAATTGCATTTGCTTGCATTATTTTTCACCGGGATATTTATGTCTTCGTGGATATGGACTAGCTCAACTGTCGACACATGGTGCAGATTTCTAAGAAGGTAAATTTTAATACATGCTAGATACATACTGTGTTAACTTATCATTTTTGTCATCAATACTATTCTGAGTAGCATATATTTTCTCTTCGTTTGCAGGATTTTCAATCGCGAGTCTGAGGAACCTCCTATAAGACTGAGTAAGCACAAGCTTATCGCGCATTTATTTGCGAACCGGAAGACATTTAATAAGGCCGGTCGTTTATCAATAAGTTTTCACAACACTCATGCGGATCCAGTTGGACTGAATTTCGACCTTAATTCGGCGTCACAAGACTTCAGCAGCACTTGGGCGGCCGCTTTGCCTAAATTAGTAACGCGAAGGGGTGCACTAGTTGGCACTACAGGATCTGTATCTAGTAATAGACGCAACTCGGCTGATTCCGAGATCAGTTATAGTTACCAATGTGTCTCTATGGAATCCAGACGAAATTCTCTGGACTCGCAGATATCCGTACAAATTGCACAGGTGAAGACAACACGAAAGGTTGCAAGCCGATCGCGCGGCCGTCGTGGGAAGAGTAGAAGAGACTTCGGGAAATCCCGATCAGCAAAAATTGATCCGCTGTCTAGGAGAGGCAGCACCACTTCTCAAGACAGTCAACTAATAACTCAAATTCCAATTCAGATGCCCAATATGGGCAGAAGGCTCGGAAACGCTGGACTGGATGAGCGAGCCTTGAAAATTATCGACACTAAAAACACGGGCATGCTTTTGCCTTTTTTGTTAAGAGGGCAGAGTGGCAGTGACGAAAATTTAAGCAGCGAGGAGAAGAGACAAGATATGGCTGATAAGGACGTCGACATAGAAGCAGACAACATGGAGAAGGAAGATGAACAAGATAGCGACAGTGAAGGTAGTCAATCGGAGGATGAAGTAAAAATGTTAGATCCGGAAAACCCACACGAGCGTAGTAAAAATAAAGAACGTAGCAATAAGAACTGTAAAACTTACAATCATGAAAGTGATAGAAGAAGTCGCGAGAGTCATAGAAGCAAGTACGTTTTACAAGACGAAGCTATCTTGAAACATTTACTTCAAGAGGCTAATGATATTAAGGTGAAAAACGAAAATGAGAAGAAAGAGGCGTATAGGAAAGCTATGATGAGCGATTTGGATTCTAGTCTCACCTCGTGTTATCCAGAGTTAACAAGATTGTTGCAAGGCGACGGACAGACTAACGCTAGAGAGATGGCGACGCAGACTTCGCTGCCGCTCGATATACTGGAGATGGAAGAGTTAAAACAGAGTATCGATGAAATAATTAACAGCAGGCATTGTAGCTCTAAGGGAACTCAAATATCACCGCAATTGAAAAAAAATAAAAATATCGCGACATAAGACTGAGAACTATTTTTTGTTCTTATATAAATATATCGAGAAATGCACGAAATAAGGAATACGTGCTATACAGATATATCAGCTTTTATCATATTTTCTAAACAAAAATGTGATCAACTATTGATTTTTACTATTTTTGACGTTATAAACGATATGCAGTAATAAAATGATAATCCAATAAAATTGGACTAAAATATATCGTTTGAGAAGATATATAAGGATAATAATAGATATATATGAATGTTATTCTATATTTTATTATTATTGCTAAAATAGTAATCAAATCTTAATAAAGTATCCATAACTGACAACTCGCATCGAGTGCTAGGTAATTAATTTTTAATTTGTGATGATACTAGGATCTTAATGTATATCACGTTGTATATATTTTCCCGCAAAAGGATACTATTATATTTCTAATATTGTATGTCTTCCAATGTTTTGTAATAATGTATCATGTGCCCGTACGAACATTTTTTATGACAATAAGATTCTTTTGTGTGTGTGTGTGTGTGTGTGTGTGTGTGGCGCGCGCGCGCGCGCGAGTATGTTTATACATTTATTTTTTTAACTAGTGCCTAAGTAAAACGCGTTTTATAATTTTCTACATTACTGATTTATAAATTATTGGCTATTTGAAAAGAAAAAAAGATTCATTCACTTATTTAATATAATTGTGATTTGAATCACATTCTTGTAAAGCATTATCGAATATTTTCTACTAGTCTAGAAAATGTTTATCGAGAAGTACTGTCTCTTGAAGTTATAATGTGTCTCTTTGTATCATTGCATTTTACATTTTGTAATAATTATTAATATATTTATGTAGTATTCTATTTTACGTATTGTATTTTTTTGTATTTGTTATATTAGTCTAATTATAATATTCTCTCAATATTTTTAAACATCTCTAAAATTTTACTATTATGTACAATATGTACGCGGAATATGAAAAGTGACATATTACTTTCTTTCTCAACGTGTTAAAGTTCCGATTATATGTAAGATATCTTTTCTTTTTTCGTTTTTCCAAAAAAAATCAGAAATTAAATTATTATCATTTATATTTTTTATGTAGCGTAACGAACCATTCACGAGACACATTCTGTAAACAATACATAATTTTTATTTGATGCCACATGTTTTAATTTAAACTATATTCTGGCAGGAAACAGATGCCAAGAGTCTCTCTGTCCATTAAACATATTTAATAAAACTTCTAGGAAAATATATATGTTGCGATCAATTCTAGGCCATTACGTATCATTACATTATTCGCTGAATTAAACTATACTCAATAATCATACATGGATAATCATATATTTTCGTCGAAGTTCAAAATCTTCTTTCCGTAAACGTACTAGATTTCGCCAAGGCACTTCTCTCACTTGTAGCAAGAAAATGTCCTCAGCAACGTTATCCCCGGATGATCGGTACATTACGATCGGTACATTTAAGATTCCCTCTCGTCCATCCGCCGTTTCTACGTTTTCAAATCTGGCTCCACGCTCTCCGTTACCGCTACGTATTTTTTTCCTACACTCGATCACACAAATATATCTGGACTTTAGTTCGGGTAAATTGTCACGTACGCTACATTGTACATTATATGCATATATATTACACACGTATTCTATGTGCACTGTATTATAATGACTTTATTGATAAAAACAATAATAAGTCGTTCGCTACGAAAGTACAAAAATAAGTATTATTATGGGCGGGAGGGGAAGAAGGATTGATATGAGGTACGCATCGTTTTATTATTCGGCTCTCGGCGCGTAACAGGGAAAAGAAAATGAGAGAAATAAACGCTATTATACCCACGGATTAGTCTCCCTTGGTCCATGATCTCATGGAAATGTGTTGCACCTTGCATGCTGCTCCTTATTCGTGTTATCTCCATTGCGCTGGGTTAACGATCGCGCGAGCCTCATTGTTATACCCTAAACTGCGCCTTACATGCACATACACAGCACTAATATTCTAAATGACATTTACATCTGACAAATAATACATCGTGCATGCTGCAACGAAGGGTACGTGGTAGAAAAGATCCATTTTTGTTTATTCACCAACACCGCAGGCGGCAGGCAGATGTGGTTTTTATCACCCGTTAGGAACGCTTGGGCGAGGCTACTTGGATTTGGCGTGAGATTTTTTATGCTTTGTGTTTTCGTTACCCCAGATGATGTTGTTCAGAGTCTCTCCGACGAAGTATAGGATTACGCAGAACGTCAGTAGCACGGCGAAGAACACAATCCGTAGCGGCAGAGTCAGCACATCCATCACGGGATACACCCAGACGCCGCTTTTATAGTAGATTACGTGTACCCTGAAATTGTAAGTTAACGTCATATCTATTCTTTGCACCTGAGCAAATGAAACGTTTAGTTTCTTTCTTCTTCGTCCTTATGTAATGAAAAAAAACTCATTTTTAAGAATTTGTGTGAGATTCTCAAAAAAAAATATTTTGAACTTTTTCAGATTTTATAAGTTTTCTTCAAAAATTATGGAATGAGAAATTATAGAATATTTTTAACATTTTTTTTTTCAGAATTCACATTTATGAAGAATATTAGAAAAGTTGCAAATTTTCTCAGCATTTCTGGAAAGTGTATCAAGTTGTAGAAAAAATTCAAAAAATTTTCTAAAAAGTTATAAAATTATAGAAATTTTGAAAAATTATGTGAAGAATTCTAAGAAAAATTTTCACCACAATTTTCTTTTATAAAGTAATTAAAACTTCCACATTTAAATCGCTTATATATTGATATTGATTTCCGTAATGCGTTATTATATTACAACTAAGAAAAGCGGATACCCGCAAATTCGTTTCACTTACCAGACTAAGTACGTGAGCATAAAGCTAACGAGTATTCCGAGGCTGTGAGATCGCTTAGGATATTGCCGTGGTACGAATATCATTTCTAACATTGTCGTCACCATGATCATTGTATGCATTAAGTGGTTCAACCACCACGGGAAGTACGGATCCAGTGCCTTCGGCAATACCAGTTCACGATCCACGAACATTAACACCCAGAAAGTCACGCCGACGAACTGCAAAGCAATGAAATTGGCATTACATTCAATATTTATCATTAAAAACAATATTCCTGCAAATGGAAAAATATGTAAGATCTGGCATACGTATACATATACCAAAGAGCTTATTCATTCAAATCTTTCCATGCATAATTGGCCGTAATAGTTGTATGAAAACTGAGAATATAAAATATTCTCTTCTTGAAAAAATATCCCTTACATTTCAAATATTTTAAATATTATTTTAAACATTTTAAGTTAATGCAATTGTTCTTAAAAAATATAAATACAGAATTCTTTAAATTAGATCCTTGTATCTATATTATGAACAAGGGTTGATCAATAAATGAGATAAATAAGATCAAAGTTACACCAAATTTTTATTCAAAATTAGGATAAAATAAAATTAAAATTGCATATAAATTTCAATTTTTCCATAATCGCCGTAAGCGTTGAAACGATTTCAGTCGTTTCATAAATATAAACATTTTTTCGAGATAATTTTCTTTCCAACATTTATAAAATTCTTTCCAAGAGTTTATATCTTCTCGAATTCTATTCCCGATAAGCTCTAAAACCTAGCAAAGAAACGGAAATTTCATGAAGTTAGGTCATACCGGGAAATGTGCGATGCTCAGTGTTTTAATGTTGAGAATATAAAGAACTAATTTATATTGCACAGTTTTCATTGTATTTCTTCCTGAATTTTTAAAATAAAAAGTTCGATATCATAAACAATAATAAACAAAAAGTTTCTCACATACATGTAAACAATAGTACTATATCTTATTTCATATTATATTAGACAATCCTCGTATATTTAAACAAAAGCAATGTTTCTCGTTTGAATGCATTGCGTTCGTGCTTTTACGCAATGCAATCCATTCGTGACACAAAATTAAGCAACATGTATTTGAAAAGAAAAATTCGCTTTTAACACACGATATTTAAAAAAATAAGTTTGTATGTTAATATATTTGAATTGTGAAACAATATATTATACAGGGCATCTATTATGAAACAAGTTGGAATGAACTCCGATTGGAATTATTCTGGTTTCCCTAATAAAAAATACAATAAAAATCCACAGAATAATTGAATAATTCCGATCGGAATCTATTCCGAATAATTCGATAATACGTATCAGTCAAAACGAAATCGACTTTTCTTTTATTATTTATTTGGTATTTCGAAAATGATGTTCTTTTTATTTCCCTCATCGGAGAATTAAACTCGTAAGGTTTCGTATCTAAACTATATTGACTTTTTCGATTCTCAATTCTATGTGTTTGCAATAATATGAAAAAAAAAATTAATTATATTACTCACCATAGCAAGCGGAAACCCGAGACTCGCATGGAAGTGATCTTTCAACTTCCGCGTGAAAGGCGGCTTCTTGGGGTTTATAGCATTTGTGCCGAATAAATCGTTTAGAAGACATATCAAGAAGAATATCGTTTGCAGAATCTAGAACACAAGTGACATTTCAAAGTGCTTTAATTAAACAAGTCAATAAATATTTTTACCGGCTATAACAATAATTATAAATACCGTTTAAAATTAACTGTGATATTATTGCTACCATGCTTCCACTGTTAGAACTATTTTCTATTTATTAATAAAAATATATTAATAATTGCGGGTTGAGATTTTAGCAAAGAATTCACTAAACAAATCGAGTTTTCAAACAAATATTTGTAAAACGAACATTTATTATTGCATTTATTTTATGTTACATGAAACTTAAATATTTAGTCTAAAAGAGACTTGTATATATAATATATTCCAGATAGCGTATAGTGCAGTATTATTTTAATATAATAAAAAAATATATAATATGATATATGCCCGTATTCAAGGCCAGGTTTTATATTTAAGACTTCCTTAAATTTATCTTTAGATGCTCTACGAATTATTTTATTGGCTACTAAGCATCTAAAGATAAATTTAAGGAAGCCTTAAATATGAGGTGTAACTATGAATACGGACAATAATCACACATATTTCATTATTTATTGTTTTCTCTATCAGACGAATAAACTGGAATTATGTGCAGTTCTTCGGTTTTTGCCATTTCCGACTTATTGCAAATTTATATATGTTTATTTATATACGTCAATATTTAAATATTATTTCTTGCATCGATAAAAACATTGTTGAATACTGCATTATTCAACACAAGCGTAAAATTGTTTAATATACGGAGAATATACTTATATTCTCAATGCGCATTTATTGTACATACTGCACATTATACATTAAAGAAATCTTGATAAGATAAAAATCAGAAATTTAAATATTTTATTTCGAACATTTTTAATATTAAAATATACGCGGATGATTATACTTTATTTCTAGAAAAAAAAGGAAGTATTTCAAAGGTATAAAAAGTTATAAACATAAACTTAATTAAAAATATAAATATTTTTAAAAGCATATCCCGCTTTGCCTTGCATTAAAATTTTTTCATATCAAAATTCTTCAACAATTTCTAATTCACAATAATAATATAATGCACGACGATCAAATATGTGGTTCTGAATTTGAATTGTTACATAATATCGTATAAATATTTTCGTCCATTATTATATAACTTATATGATGTTATCTTAATACTTAATCTTGTATTGACATTTTAAGATAAAGTATTTATCTATTAAAACGCATAATCTATGAGGTTTGTTTAAGCTTATCACGTGTCAATCGAGTGATGATGTATGGCACATACAAATCATAAATATGAATGACACTTCAACGCGTTGATAACGCAAGAGGAAGTGACCTAATTATGCGAGCCATTTCCGATATCAAGATTAATTAATACTTAAATTAAAGTTTTTTTTAAACTCTTTAAACAATAAAATAAATATAATTTACTAAAGAGCTATTTATATCATCAAAAATTAATAAACTCTGGAAATTTTTATCGTTACCATTATAATGATTGTCTGCTTATTTGATCTTTAAAAAGTGAATAAATGAAACTCAAGCTAATTTAGAAAGCTTAAATTTTAGGTAAAAAATTGATATTCTTCGTTTTATTAGATGAAATAATTAATCCGAGTTAAACGTTTTAACGTAATTATATTGATTGATGCTGCACAAGCAGTTTTGCATGCCTCCATTTCGCTACATAATATCAAGTTATGCTCAAACAATTGAATTTTGCTCTTTACGAGTAGTTTGATGACGGCTATTCGAGCGTAAAATGATTAAGAGTGTATCATAGTTTGACGATAAGTGACCAAATGCTTCAACGTAATCTCGTCGAATGTAGAATCACGCTTTTGGTTTGGTTTAACAGGGCAAATTGAGTGGAGAGCTGCACTCGTCTCTAACAAGTGTATTTTTGATTTGTAAGATAAATGTCAATTGAAAGATAAACAACTCTAATGTGCGTACTGAATATATCGTGTTCATTCATCTAGACATTTAACATATACGTAGTTCAGAGCTTCAGTCATTTTGACAGTCTTTGAGATGATTTCTTTAAATTTTTTATTTTCTTTGTATCTCTTGTAAAAATATTATAATTTATTGTATCTCATGTAAAAAATCTATATGCACTCAATGTATAAATAACACTGTTACATATTTCTTCAAATTGAAAGTGTTTTATTATGATAAAGACGACAAACTAAAAGTTACTGAAATTATATAGTCGCTATTTAATAATAAGATAGTCAATAGTGGACAGAATAAATTAAAATAAACGAAAAATATGATCATTATTTTTTCATTCGCTCATAATTAAAAAAGAATATATATTTATAAACATGTAAAAATTAGCACTATAAAAAAAATTGAAAATTTGATCGATTACGTATGTTTAGAACGTCGGCATGACGGGCGATTAATTTCCATAAAAAGAATTTGCTTGAAAATCTTTAAAAATACAGTTACAATTATATATTGACGTATACATAAATTAAAAATTATAATTAATAGTTTTTAAAAGCACTTTAATTATTGTGCGAGTTCAGATAGTCATTATTCCGAAAACATGTGTCGCTGAATCACGCAATCAATCAAATTATTTATTCTTCTTTATAATATATTTATTTTTACAAGTTTATATATATATATTCTATGTGATAATAAAATAATAAAAATGACATTCCTTTTACATTAGAACGTTCAACCCATTTTATTCTGTTCACTCATTACAAAGTAACGACCATTTAGCTTCCCAGTTATTACCGTATATATGCATTGCATTGGCTTTTATAATTATCAATTACACTGATAATCATTGATGATACTTGATGAGTATATCGTTTTTCTATATTGCTGATTCGAGGAATATTATATTACTGTTATTTGTGTTTTTTGCCCGGAATCTACTAGGTAGACGTATCGGTTTTCACTATTACGTAACACGGTACCAAGGATACATTGCGTATACGGGATCTATGATCGTAGAGAATCAGTTTTTTTCGAAGAATACTAGAGTTTCTCGTTGCTCTGTAATAGTTACGCTGTAGAAAATGCAGCAATTTCTTTTTGCAAAGAGCAGGAAGATGAAGCAGGATGAAAATATGTCTAGGAATGAAAAAATGATGTCTTGTGTGTGACTAATGATTGCTGTACCGCTGAAACTGTAGTTCTCATCATAGACGTTTCTATATTTAAAATTAATATCTCATTATGCATCATAAAAGTACAAACTATTCCCGCGAAAGTAACGGTCTTTGCGTACATAAGTAGGAAAAATTAAATTGAGAAGATAATAAGATCATGGATATAATAACATCTTGTTACAACGATTTCCGTTGAATTTCTTGAAGCAGATCATGTTCGCCGCAGGCCGCAGGTTGAGATTTTGTTACATTGTCGTTTACGTATTAGTCTAGACTTCCAAATCGACTATTGCGAACGTAATAACAGTTTCGTATAGAAAATCTCGTTTCGTTTTCTTAGAGGATCGTAACAATTTCAGTGATAGCGAGAGGATTGATACAGGGTATATGGGATGCGTTTGTGCTGCAGGTCTGTGTGTATCGTGCATGTAGGTACCGACACCGAGACAAAAACTTTGCAATTTCATCAATGAAACTAAACTAAACTAAACGCACTCAGCTTGCACGTCAATACTAACCGCATCCCAGAACGTTAGGAACTTGAACTTCCCACCGTAGGCGTTGTGCACACTCCTAACATCGTGCGGCACGATCGTATACGTGTAATCGTAAAAAACCGCGAAAGCGTATTGCAGAAAAGTAACTGCATGGAATCCAATCGCTAGGCCCTCTCGCATCTCACGGCTGTTCACGAGTGAGTCTGAAAACGTGTAATTATCTCATCTCTTTTTGGGGATCACACGTACACCCGCGACTCGACGTCGAATAAAAGCAGGAAGACCCACGCACTCGTCGGTGTACACAGTTCTTTCGAAACAATCTCATACTTTTTTCTTTTGAAATTACTTTTCTTGGTGTTATGAGAATCACTAGGATCTCATTGAAACTTTCGTGCCCGATGACACTAAGTTGCGTATGAAACCCGATTGTAGAAAATGTTACATAATCAAATCCGGAATAATCTACTAATCGGTCGTTCAAACTATGTTTGCAGATCTACGCTCTCTCAAACCACATTTTCCATTACCTGCATAAACGAAGTTTCAGCTCTAATTGCAGCAATTTCTTGGCATACGTTACTTTTTTAAATCCTCTGCGGAGATCGGATTGTTCAATCTTATCTTGAAGAAAAATGATACATACCAAGAGAAATTGCTGCAATAATAAAAAAATAAAAAGATACCAAGAACATCTAAGTGATCTCGACAGTCATTTATTAGACATAGTATTCCGGATCTGATTATGTAAAAATTAAAGATTGCAATAAGCAGTAGCATTTTGCGAAATTTGTTTCCATTCATTGATCCAAGAATTGTGATTAAACAATAGAAATAAGAGGATTAATTTAAAAAAAAAACATTCTATTTATACTCTATATATATATTTATATTCCATAAAAAATATAAATAATTTATCTTTTATTATCAATAGTTTTGATTGCAAGAGTAATATATAGATTGTGAAAATATAATTATTCAGATGTTTACACATAAATATATCAACTTGTGTGTGTGTGTGTGTGTGTTCAAATAACAGTTTTATTTGTCCATATATTTTAAATCTACATTTTCCAAAAAAATATAAATATGTATAAAAAAATTAAAAATTTTAATTTAAAAAAATTATTTTATTTTTTTCACTTTTATACAATTCTTTCTTGCTGACACTCGTGTCATTTTGAAGGACACTTGTATATGAATTATCGAGAACACGATGCTAGAAGGATACGAATCGATGAACGATCTATTCATTATTTGATTGATTATTTATTGTGTACATTTTTTACCATCGTATATAAGTACCACACCGAGATCAGGAATTATTGTTGAAAGAGTGACAAATATGTAAATGGAAGATAGTTCGGAGATGGAAAGTTTCAACTGATAA